AAAGAGTGTAACTTAAAACAAACTTAACAGGAAAGAGCTACAGTTAGCTTTCACTATCAGCTGGTGACAAAGCTACTTAAAATTCCCGTTGGGCAACTGGAAGAAGAAGGGGCCGGGAAAAGGCGGTCGCAGAAGTGGGATTTCCATATCAAAGGGCAAGCCTTTGGCTCTGAATGGTAATTAAAGTAGCCCGATTTCGATTTCATCTTCATGGTCAAGTCATGAAAGGGGGAAAAAATTAGAAGAATGTTTCAGTCCCTTCAGACTGCAGAAAAGAAAGCAGTAAATTAAATGAAAGTTGAGCTAAAAGGTGTCTAACACTTCAATCTTTGCATCTAATAGAATCTATGATATTTCTCAAGCATTTATTCAGTTCACATCTTCATTCTGCCCCGATTATGGATATAATGTCTGCTTTCATTTCTTGGGCACACATCTCCAGCTTCCGGAGTTTGCAAAGGATATCAGTTTTCATTACACTGCCTTGGCGGCTCAGTCATCAGGGAAGAATTTGCACACTTTGAGCAAAACTAACCTGTTGTAGGAACTATACTTCTTTAGGTAACCAAGAAAACATAAACCAACTTGTTCAATTTGAAATGTATGTTGGTATGACATCACGAAAACTTGCCTTTTCAAATGCCACAGATGTGACTTTCTTTGCTATAGATTGCACCTCTTCTTTCGTTGATCGCTGGAGCTATTTCACTGTCTCTTTTCCAACACTCCCATTTCCAAAGCCATTGCTTTATGAAATAATTATTTTAAATCGAAGTATGGGATTTAGAAGCAGTTTCAAATGGATTAAAGAAGAATGCCACTTATGTTCTGGGAAAGAAGGACCTAGAAATCTTATCACATTTTTTGGATGAGATGTTAAACTTGGACCTACCTCTCTATTCATTAAAGATCACAGAGCTTTTCTTTTTCTCTCTTTCTCTCTCTTTTTTCTTTTTTCCTCCTGAAAGAGTAGAGAAAACTGGCCAAACTCCAAGGTAGATAATTACATTCCACCTACCTAATTCCCTGGCTGCCTTAATTGGAAACAATTCTACTTTACTCTCTATGCCCCTTATCCTTATCCTTAAACTGCTTTGTAGCTTCTCAGGTATGTCTCTTACACCTTCAAAGTACTGTTTTGGATGTGGAGTAAGGTAAGTTTTTTTGCCTTGGGGCATGTGTCCTCACCAGAGAGAGAAAGAGAGACAGAGACAGTGAGAGGGAAAATGAGAAATCACCCTCCCCCCCTCCAAGGGGCATGGCCATGCCAGAATTGCTTTTCCTCCATTTTCCTCCAGGGATCTTGGACATGCATGCACATGAGTCTGGTGTGAGTTTCAAGCCATCAGGTCCAGGAATCAAACCACATTCAGCCATGTGGGAGTTCAGCAACATAACCACACCATCTGTGGGCCTGTTCGTGCATTCTTAACAGTAATATTGGGGTGTAGTGACTGGGGTAGCTGCATCCTATATGGTTGACTGGTCGACTGTGCAGTTCAAATCCCGGACCCAGCAGCTTGAGAGAGATGCCAGGTGCTTGAGTGTGCATGCCCAAAATCTCAAAAAGAGAGATGGAAGAGAAGGGATTGTGTTGTGACCATCTCCGTGAGGAGTGCTTTCTCCCTTTCCTTCTCTCTTCTCCCCACTCTTGCAAGTGCACACACCCTCTAGCAAATTAAAAAAAAAAAAAGTTACATTGCCACTTAAGTGGCAAAAACTGGTTCCTAGGAGGCCAAAAAAGCTTACTCTTTCTCTCTTTATGTAGATATCTGCTACATTAAAATTTTGGGGAGAGCAATTAGAAAAATATTTTTAAAAATTTGATGGGGAAGATGACAGTGAGAAAAAGTGGAGAAATAGTGATACAATATTATACCCACTCTTTATTAATTGATGGTATAAGAGACAAAGATCAGGATGCAATTCCATCCTTATTGCCTTGCTTTCTTTTCTTATTTCTTTTCTTTCTTTTTTTTTTTTATTGAGAAAGAGAGATTTTTGTTGTTAGAGTGTGCACTTACCACCAGAGAGAAACAGAGAGAAAGAGAGACAGAAAGGGTGATTTCTTCTTCTAGGGGGGATGGCCACACTGCAATCCCTTCTCTTCTATTCTCCTTCTGAGGTTTTGGGCATGCACGCATATGCGCCTGGAGTGAGTTTCAAACCTCTGTTTTCAAGCCTTGAACCATGGTTGGCCAGGTGGGAGTCTAGCAACTGAGCCATTACATCATCTGCTGGTCCCTCTTCATTTATTTTCCAAGTCTGTGATACAGGTGAAGAACCAACATGATCTTCTCTTCTCAATATTACTTCTGCTTACAGAGTAAAGTGAGCGGACAAGTAAAGTGAATGGAGTCCCATTATGAATGACCAAGACATTCTAATTAACACTTATCTAAATATTAGAAAGGTAGAAAGAAAAATATTAAATTAAAGCTCAAATAAGAAAGATCATAATACACTTTAAAAATAAATCGGTCCAGCAGGTGGTATGGTGGATTTCGCATGGTCAACTCTGTGGTTTGAGTCCTGGACTCAGCGACTTGAGAAACATGCCAGGTGCATGTCTGTGTGTGTCCAAAATCCCGAGAGGAAAATGTAGGAGGAGGGATTGCAATGTGGTCATCTCTCCTGGAGTGATTTCTCTCTTCCCCTCTCTTGCTGTCTTTCTCTGGCAAGTGCACATACCCTATAGCAAACAAACAAACAAACAAAAAAACCCAAAAAAACAAAAAAACCTAAAAACAAAAACAAAAAACAGTATCAAACACTGACTTAGAATTGTCATGGAAAAGTTGGTAGAAAACACTAGTTATATAGATTTTTAAAAAGAAAAACTACAGATCATTTTCTAAACTTTAGTAGTGAAAAAAAATGAAAAGGATACTAATAGATTGGTAGAGTGATATATTTTCTAACTTGCTCTTTCTGTGACCATCATGAGAGTATACTGATTCTGACATAAAACTAAACAGCTCAAACATTGTGCTCAGGGCCAGTCTGGTGGTTAAGGGAGCTGGATTCTACATGGCTGACCGCATAGTTCAAATCCTGACCCCAGTGACTTGAAAAGCACCTGGCATGTGTGCCCATGTGCCCAGCATCCCAATAGTAAGGAAGAGTGGAGGTGAAGGGATTGTGACGTGACCACAACCCATCAGAGAATGCTTTCTCCCTTTCTTTGTGTCTGTCCCACTGATTTATGCCCATGACACAAAAAATGTAAGATGAAACTCATGGTCCATCTGTGCAGTGGCACTAAGAATGTATTCTTTCTGGGCCGGCAGGTGATGTGGTGGTTAAGGTGCTTGACTCGCACATGGCCAACCATAGTTTGAGTCCTGGACCTGGTGGCTTGCTTTTTCACTTTCCCTCTGTCTCTCTGGTCAAATAATAATAATAAATAAAATTAAAGTAAATAATTGCAAAAATAATATATTCTTTCTACATATTGCTGCCTGAAAGCCAAACAGAAAATGTTGACCACACCTAAACTAGTACAGCTTTGAAACAATGGATGAGGGGGATGATGATGAAGATAATGACAGTTGGGCATTACTTAACATCTGAATCAGGAACTGTTTTAAGCCCTTTACTTGTGCTAACTCATTTTGTTCTTTCAAAAATACAGAGGTATCCTTTTTATAGATAAAGAGATTGAGTTCCAGGTAGTTAAGTAACGCATCCTTGAATGCATTTGGAGCTTAAGGATGACAAGACCACATCCATACAGCCTTATGAGGACTTTAGAATTCTTTCATTTTCACTTCCATTGCTTTAAGAAGAGCTAAAGTAATAGAAAATAACAGAAAAAAAAATTTGAGGTTTTCAAGGATTCATGGAAGTCTATTTTGCCTTCAAAACACAAATGTCTTAAAAGTTTTATTTCAAAATTTGCCCCACTTCCTTCTCTATGATAACTCTTTCCATTATTTGGAGACTTCGAAAGTCAGTGACTATCTTAAAAGATATTTATATGGGAATTTCCCATTCCTTTTATGAATAGTAACTGTGCTTTTGCTTCTCTAGTTTTGCCCTCTCTCTTGCTTTAAAGGCAGTGAAAAACAGAAATGACTGGAGGGGACTTCGAGAGATGAATAAGGATCAATAGCATCTTTTCTACCATTTCTTGTTCTGGGTTTTCTGGATAAGTTGTGTGTGTGTGTGTGTGTGTGTGTGTGTGTGTGTATCCTGTGTTGAGATCAATAATTAATCAAT